AGTGGCGCATACTGATGACAACATTAACCCTCGACTTGGGTTGTCTTAAAGAGACACCACACCATTATGACTGTTACATTGTACCGATTTATCACCGGCTTCACTTTTATACAAAAAAAATCTTAAAAGCTGAAGTTCTGAGGCCCCTTTTGAAGCATTCCCATCCACTAATGGTATGTGCAGTTACATGTGTTTGTCTCTGAGACACAGACTAAGCAACTTTATGCTGGCAGGTTTAAATGTCTGTATTTTGACTAAAGTTATATTTGCTAGATCCCGATGCACACTTCCATTCCTGATCCCCATTATGCTTTTCTCTTTTCTTTGAGAAATAAATAGTTGTTTCTTATTATCAGTGGAAGAGTTTCCAATATGGACATTTAGAATCTTTATAGAGGGTTTTTACGTCCACATGAGAGATAACTGAAATAAGTGAAAACAGATTAGGACTCGCATTAGGACACAGATGACACCAGGAGTATTGGGACGTGTCAGACTTAGTGAGCCGTGATGAATCGATTTCATCAGGAGTGCCTGAGTGGATAATATAATTTGAGGAAAGATGTTTTGCTCTTTTGGATGTTTGCCATTGTATCTTAATAACTGGCTACATTAATAAACTCCACACAGTAGTTACATTAATTTAATTTATTCGTGTGTATTTTGTGAAACTCAAATAAATTTTTCTCCTTTTGATGGCTAAACGTAACAGTAAGAAAGTGAAACTGAAAACTTTAAAAAAGGATAAAATGTAAGTAAACACTGTATTTATAAAACAAAGTAAAAAAAAAATCCCCACCAGAAGCTAAAACAATAATGGCACTAATTGGCATTTTTGGCAGTTACGTGATAGCAAACAGAAAAATTACAATTAACAATTAAAAAAAATATATACAGACATTACACGTTTTTCCTTCAGTGGGAAATTGTGTTTGGCATGCACATACGGACAAAAGTCAAATCATCTTAAATTCAGCAGTTTTCAGTTGCATTACCACAGGTATAGAGTAGAATAGAATAGAATAGCCCTTCATTGCCATTATACATGAACAGTGTTGGGAAGGTTACTTTAAAAATGTATTCCATTACAGATTACAGAATACAGATTACAGAATACATGCCCCAAAATGTATTCTGTAACGTATTCCGTTACGTTACTCAATGACAGTAACGTATTCTGAATACTTTGGATTACTTAATATATTATCATGCTGTTTACAACTACATGAATGTACTATTGCTGTGATTTATTACTGTTACTGAAG